TTTGGACACATCATGAGAAGAGAGGACTCATTGGAAAAGACAGTAATGTTGGGAAAGGTGGAGGAGGTAGGAAGAAGAAAGGCCACTTGCTAGATGGATGGACTCTTAAGGAGGTCATGGGTATGGGCTTGCAAGAATTAAGCAGAGCAGTGGAGCACAGAGGGTCTTGGAGATGTCTCATCCATAGGATTGCCATGAGTCAAGATCAATTCAAGGGCAGTTAACAGCAACAAAAATGTGTTTATCCAACAGCGAGGCCACTGAATTCGATGGGAACTTTTTTCTGAGTAGATATGGAAAGGGTTATTGACTAACCAATACACCGAATACATATGCAGATACTGTGTCTCACTGTTTATAACTTGAAGGTCACTGCTGGTTCTGAATCCTCCCCCCTTTTTGGCTTAGTATTGTTTGGCTTAGTATTGTTATCTTTTAATCTGATGAAAAGAGGCAGGCAATATGTTTTTCCTGCGTAAAATGTTAAGGCTGATTATGAACGTGGAATGCAAAAACCTTCAGGAATCATTGACATATTGTGCTCAAAAGCCTATGCATCTCTTTGATTTCTAAATCCACTCAGTATTTGCAAAGATAGAATGTTATTCTGTTGGTGCTGGACAAAAGAGGGTGTCACTTTAGTATGAGAGAGAGAGAAAATAAAGGATTTATTTTCTGGATGATCCTCTCTCCACTGAAGTATTTATTTAATACTTCATATTAATGCCTTGGACTAAAGAGGGCAGTTTAGACAATATAAACAATTAAACAAGTCCAATAATTATTATCCTTTGCTTGTTGTTTTGCTTATTCCTGCACTAAATGTAATGCATGAGTCTGGGGCAGCATTTGCACTGCAGAAATAATGCAGTTTGACAGCACTTTAATTGCCATGACTCAATGCTATGGAATTCTTGGATTTGTAGTTTTGTGAGATATTTAGCATTCTCTGTCAGAGAGCTCTGGTGCCAGAACAAACTACAAATCCTATGATTCCATAACATTGAGCTATGGTAGTTAAAATGTCATGAAACTACATTATTTTTTCAGTGCAGATGCAGCCCCAAATGGATTACTTTTTGAACTACAACTTCCAAGCTCTCTCATGCTAGCTAGCAGATTGTGGGAACTATGATTTTAAAAAAGCTATGGTGTGAGTTAGTAATGTGTGTGTGCACCTCAGTGATGGTCCTACAGAATTCACAATGCATGATACAGTTTTAGAATTTGGGGGTCTGTTGGTGTATCAGACCAGCATATTGTCAATTAACATAACAGTTTCCTATATGTGCAGACACAAGAGTGACTCTGCATTGCAAAGAACATTGGGAAAACAGGCCTCAAGACATTGATTCTGCCTTGGGCGGCTTGCTGTATAGCTAAGAGACCTTCCAAGTAATCATTAAAGAAGGAAGTGACATTCTAAGGAGCCTGAGGCAAGCCTGTCAATAATTTGATAGAAACACTGAGCAGATCTCATGTGTGCCCTTGTGTTGCTCAGTAAACAGTAGTGATTTATACTCTATCCCCTTCCTTTTCCACTAAGGTTTTTGAGTGGAACTTTCTCTTATGTGCAACTAATTTTTTTAAGTTGAAGTCTATCATGTTGCTGATGGATTTCCATTTCAAGGCTATGACAACAGCACACTTGATCCTATTATGGCCTTCCTAATGTTTCCAAATAGCCTTACAATATGTTGTAAAAAAGACTGGAATTAAATTAAATTATGGCTAGCATTCTGTATTGCAATTATAGAGTTACAGCTCTGTATTCATTAAAACTATGTTGACATGATCCCAGCACTATTGACACAAATCATAAATTCTCTCCCCCCCAGTCCATCTTCAGAGCCAGAAGTCATCAGATATGGTTGCAGTGTCTTAAGGTGGGCTGGGATGGTTAGACCAAGAGATGTTACTTAGTTGTTGCTGATGCTGTGTGCCTTCAAGTCATTTCTGACTAATGGAGACTCTAAGGCAACCCTATAATGGTTTTCTTTTTTTGGCATTTGTTCAGAGGAGGTTTGCCATTGCCTGTCCCTGAGGCTAAGAGCATGTGGCTTGCCCAAGGCCACTCAATGGGTTTCATGGCTGAGCTGGGAATCGAACCCTGGTCTCCAGAGTTGTAGTGCAACACTCAAACCATTACACCATTCTGGCTCACATTTAGTGTTTTGTTTTTGTTATATATTTAATTATATATTTGTTTCTATATTTGTAACTAAGTAGCTAATATAGACTATTGGTGCACATCTTTTACTTCTGCTGACAGTTTTCTTGAAGGTTTAAGTCTTCAGTAAATTGGACAGATTTTGCCTTGTTTTTCCTAAAAGGAAAAGGTGTCATATGAAAGATTTATCTCTTTTTAAGAAGCCTTATTTGCATGTATTGACACAAAGTAAAATAACTGGAATGCAGAAGGGATATCAGACCACACTGTATACCAAATTCCTTAACTCTTTAAGTGGAGGAATGATGATGAGTCCTACTTCAGATGTAAGGGGCAGGGATGATAATGGCAGGAACTTGTTCTTTGCTGCTCCAAAACATAGGACCTGAACCAAGGGATCCAAATGATGGACACATTAGGAAGAACTTTCTGATGGCAAGAACTGTGCTGGACTCTTCTTTATTGGAAGGTTTTAAACAGAGGTTGGATGCCCATCTCTTTTAAACAGAGGTTGGATGCCCAGGACATTTAGCTGTGGATTCTTGTATTGGCAGACTGTTGGACTATACAGGGACCTTTCCAGCTCTATGTCTGTAATGAAAACAAGCATTAATATCCATAAATTATACCTATGCAGAGACCATAAAATGCTGTCCCAAATGGCCTTCCAGTGGTGTAACTACTATTGCAGGGGTAGGCAACCTTTCCCCTTTAAGGGCCGAGGGACTTCAGCTCCCATAATCCCAGGAGCTATTGGCCAACATGGGACTATTGGCCAACATGGCTGAGGCTTCTGGGAGCTGAAGTCCCTCGACCCTTAAAGGGGAAAGGTTGCCTACCCCTGTACTATTGTGTTGGCATTACCCCAGGATTTCAGCTAAAGTGGGTGTGGATGTGAGGGTTCTGGTGCAAGTAACTTGTCCTTACCCCATGCCTGACAGACAAGATGGTAATGGCTGTGGCACTCAAGGAGTCCATATGTATTTCTTGCCTTAGGGCTCTCAGGGGTTAAGAAACACACTTGTCTTCATCTTCATTCAGGGGGGAAGCAGATGAGTGCTTCCAGGATGCCGCGGGACGGTGCGCCGCGGGACTGCGGCATCCACACCGCGGCGCACTGTCGGCGCCTCTGAAAGGAGCACAAAATCAGCGCTCCTTTCAGAAGTCAGTGAAAGTGTGCCCTAAAAGCGTAGGGCGCACTTTCACTGACTTTTCCACCACAGTGTGTGCGGACGCTTCAGCGGGAGGTTGCCCTTGGAGCGCCGGCAGTGCGGAGGGCCGGCTGCTCCAAGGGCAACCTCGGGAGGAGGAAGGGGCGCCGATTGTGTGGCTGCCCCTCTTCTTCCTTGCCTCGAGGACGGCCCAATTAGCCATTTGCCGAGGTCCACAGTTTCCCTTGAGTGCTGTTTTGCTGTGGAGCATGCATATAGTCATGCAACTATAGTCGGTCCAGCTAGAAGTTGTTGTTGTTGTTGCTGCTGTTTCCACTTGAGCCTCAAACTCCCCAATGCAATTTTACCCCAATTCATCCTACAATTACTTGTAATTAAACAAACAAATCTCCATTCTAATTAAAATTTGCAATGGGATTTATGTGATGAGCCACAGCAGGATGCATGATTCTAGTCAGTTGCACAATTTATTGTGCCTTGCAGGTAAATATTGGCAACCTCAGTCGATACGCTTAATGGTGACAGAGATCTGCTTTTGTCTTCCAAACTTAACTCTCTCCTATTGCTTTTTGGTCGTTATCTTTCAGTTTCTGAAACTCTCTTTGCTTCCCACATGATAGTAGTGTCTGTGTATTGCAGTGTGTTGGATGAGAGCTAACAATGTAAAATTGGATCCAAATGAGATCAAGGTGTAGTTGGTGGGTTTTTTCAAGTGATATTGAAAAACCCCACTAACACCTGCATGTGGTCACAATTTCTCTGGAGGATCAGGTAGAGCTTGGTACTTTATTTTGGTCTTCCAGAATCTTCCAGCCAACATGGGCACATGAGACATGTTTGTGTAAGGATTCTAGGAGTTATATCCCAATAAATACATATGGCTATATCTCAACAAATCCTCTGCTAGCTTTTGGGCATACATGGCTAGAATAGGGCAAACATCCCATTTTGGAAGAAGCATTCAGGTAGTCTCTAGAAGATTCAAAATATTTTTGTTTCCTTATAAAAGGCTCACCTGACCTGGTTCCTACATTCACATATGCATATTGTTAGTTTTGAATAAAGTTTTTCCTAAAACCTATCAAATTGCTCTTATTTTTGGTGGTATAGGGACCTATCCCTTCCCCCACCCATGTTATTTCTGTGTCAGATTTCTGCCTGTACTAAATGTTCTGTGAAAAAAGTGATGTCCAGTAATGTATTTACTTTGGTAGCATTTCCAATCCATAGGATCAGGTGCATATTTGGAAGATATTGTCAGATGAATTCCTTACTTTGGATACTCATTTTTTCATTTGTAGCACGAAGGAGCTTTCACTCTTGGAAAACTTCAAAAACTCACATATAGCAGCAAACAGCAATTAACGCTAATCACCTTCACCACTGGATCCGTCTGCAGATTTTAACCTATAAAGTCATATATTGCCTAGAACCAGAGTATATGATGGGCCATCTCTGCCCACACAACCCTGCTTGTATCCTACCACCATTTAGAGCTCCACCACACTCCTGCCTGCTTGCACATTTGCTGCAAAATGGGAGGAAGGACATTTTAATCTCCTCCCTGCCCACAACCCCAGTTCTGAATAGCTTTCTCTCTCTCTCTTTCTCTGTGTTTTCCCTGATCTGAAAATCAAATGCTAAGGCATTTTTCTTCCTTTGCTTTTAATTTTTTAAAACTTATGCAAAGACTGAGATGCCCATACAGCAGCCATGTAGTACAGCCATGTAGTACACAAAAGAATGAATGCTCCAGGGTAACAACACTACAATAGTTGCTTTTGTGGCACTGGTGGCTCAGCTTTTATGTCAGTTAAAAAGGAAAGTTTTATTTTTAAAGGAAGAAATCTTGTATTTGAGAGGAGTTTGGACAACATTCTACAGCTCCTGCTTCTTCAGAAATAACTTTCCCAAACTCTTTATTTTATTTGGCATTGATTTTTAATTTTTTTATTAATAGTCCAGTGCTATCATATATAATCATACAAGTCTCAAAGAAGATTAGTTTGTTGATCATTAATTAATCATCATAAATGATATGCAATACTGCATAAAAATCTAAACTATCCTTATCACCAAAATACTACTTGTTACTCCAAATGCAAAAACAAACTAAAGACAGTAATCAACTAGCCTAGATACATACATATTGATTTGATTTAGTTTGAAATATTTTAAATAATTAATGTACTCCATGCATATATATATATATATATATATATATATATATATATATATATATATATATAAAATATCCTAATATCAAAAAAGACTAATAACCACCAGAAGAAATGATATAATTGACTAGTCCAGTTCCAAATCTGTCCTGAGTTAGATCTAAATATATTTTTATTACTCCTTCCGTCTTTCAGCATTCCTAATCCATCTACTTTTTTACTCAAAAGAAAATATATTACTATTTTATTCTTCTTCCCATTTCCCCTTCTTCCCAATTTTTTTGTGTTACATAATTCTAATCTTCATACTTTTCCAAAGATTTATCCAAAATAATTTTTAATTTGTCCATTTTGCACATTTCATATATTTTTAAAAACTAGACTTCTTCTGATTTTTTTCCATTTCTTTGCATATATAGAAACATAGAGTTGAAACCACAAGGGCCATCCAGTCAACCCCCTGCCATGCAGGAACTCAAAATCAAAGCATCCTCTACAGATGGCCATCCAGCCAATGATTCATGGCTTACGGCAAAGAAGAACACTTTATTGTGTATTACAGCACATGTCTTGCTGTATTTTCCTTTTTGTCAGTCCATGGAACAGGCAGTAGAACTGTCCAGGAAGGGTTTAAGATGTATAGGCTCAGGACAAGATTTAGCCCACTCTGTCCACCCTGCAACTGAAATGTGAAGTCATAGAATCATAAAGTTGGAAGAGATCACAAGGGCCATCCAGTCCAATCTCTGCCACGCAGGAACTCAAAATCAAAGCACCCCCCGACAGATGGCCATCCATCCTCTGTTTAAAGACCTCCAGAGAGGAAGACTCCACCACACTCCAAGAGAGTGTGTTCCACTGTTGAACAACTCTCACTGTCAGGAAATTCCTCCTAATGTTGAGCTGGAATCTCTCTTTCTGTAGCTTGCATCCATGGTTGCAGGTCCTATTCTCTGCAGCAGCAGAAGACAAGCTTACTCCATCCTCAATATGACACGACTTCAAATATTTAAACAGGGCTGTAATATCACCTCTTAACTGTCTTAACTAATGCATCTAACAGTTGTGTTGTCTAGTCCCCATTTTACTATCTTGTTTGCAAGAATATAATGGGGGACCTTGTCAAAAGCCTTATTGAATTCAAGATATGCTATACCCACTGCATTCCCTTCATCTACCAAGCTGGTAATTTTATCAAAAAAGATAAGATGAGCATTACTTGTTTTTGAGAAATCCATGTTGACTATTCACAGACTCTCTGTTGAATGAACTGTTCTAGAATCTTTCCTGGTATTGATGTCAGACTAACTGGATGATAGTTGTTGTGATCCTCTTTTTCCCCCTTTTTGAAGATGGGGACAACCTTTGCCCTCCTCCAGTCTGCTGGGACTTCTCCTGTTCTTCAGGAGTTCTCAAAAATTATTGCCAGTGGCTCTGAGATTACATTTGCCCATTCTTTTAATATCCTTGGATGTAGTTCATCTGGTCCTGGAGCCTTAAATTCATTTAGATTAACCAGGTATTCCTGTACTATATCTTTACTTATTTTGTGCTGCCTTTTCCCTATTGTGTCCTTTGCTCCATTTTCCTCAGGTTGAAACCCTTTTCCTTTTGTGAGAAGACTGAGGCAAAGAAGGTGTT